CTGGACTGTAGGGATTGGACTTGGAGGTGTAGGACTGTGGGTCACCCAGCCCCTGGAAGGGGGTGTGAATGGACAAAGGGACACTGTCAGAGGACAGTGTTCCAGAAGAGGACACTGTGCGTTGGGAGAAACGCGGGTCCATGTGCCAACCAAAGGTGAGATGACAGACAGGACGCCACCAGAAAGGGATGCTCTACTGGATCGAACCAATTCCCTGAGATGACCAGTAAGAGGCGCCGCGGTGGTGAGTCCCTACATTGTCACAGGGCCTCAATGTTGGGAAGCAATGACTGAAAAAGATTTGGGGACCCTTGCCAGAGGGTGTTGTGAAGGCCAAGACTATATCAGGGTTCAAAAATGAACTAGATTAATTCATGGAAGATAGGTCCATCAATGGCTATTAGCCAGGAAGGGAAGGTGTGGTGTCCCTAGCCTCTGTTTGCCAGAAGTTGGGAATGAACGACAGGGAGCTGCCGTCCCATACCCCGCGCCCAGAGCCGCGATACTGCGAGTGTCAGGAAGCTGCTTTCATGGGGGGTTGTACCTGCAGGCAAGCGCTTGGCCGCACGGAGCCACCTGCACCCCTGCACCAAATGGGATCTACCCCAGGGAAGTGCCCCACACCCCAAACCTCTACCCCAGCCCTGATCCCCCTTGCACACCCTTACTCCTGCCCAGGCACCGCACCCCAACCACCAGCCATCTCCTGAATCCTAAGTCCTGCCCAGACTCCACATTCCCACCCCAACCCCCTGCCCTGAGCCCCCTCCTGCACTCCAAGCATCTCATCCTCAGACCCACCCCAGAGCCCACACGCACAGTTGGAGCCCTCACCCTCTCCTGCACCCACCCTCCTGCCTCAACCCGCAGCCCCCTCCCGCACTCTGAATCCCTCTCTTTGTCGCCACCCTGGAGCCTGGGGGGGGGCACAAATTCTAATAGCCCTGGGCCCCCAGAAGAGTTAATCTGGCCCTGCTCACATATCACTACAAGCTAAGTTAGACCGGTTTTGCTCTGGAGATACAGAAACAGAAATGATCCAACCTACATTCTTTTGGGAAGCCAAGGGGCTCTTGGGACCAGTGGTGTAGCTAGAACATGAAAACTGGGTGGGCCCAGCTTTCAGGAGCCCCATCACCCCCTACAGGGGAAGATTAGGATTTTGTATGGCCCTGGCTCAACCAGGAAAACTGAGGTACGCTCTCCATCCCTTCTGCAGCCCCCCCGCTCAAGCTGGGGAAATGGGGACAGCAGCGAAGGGATTTGCACCCAGCACTCCTGCTGGGGAGTGGGGTCGGCACATGCGGTCATGGGGTGGGGGCTTATTCCGCTTCCCCCACCCAGGGATTCTGAGATGCTGGGCTTGCCCTACTACTACACTCAGCGCTATTCCAGTGCCACGACCCGTTCTCCAGCAGCTGGGAGGGGGGAGAGGGGCAAACCCTCGCACCCGACCTCGCTTCACTGCAGGAGTGGCAGGTGGGTGGAACGGAGTAGGGTGACACCGTTGGCCCAGGACCAGTAGCTAATCCACTACTGGCCCAAACCCACCTCCATGAGGCACATCCCCATCTGGGGCGAGAGACCAGGGAATCAGTGCTCCGGACCGGCAGGAGAGGGCTACAGCTGGGAACCAAACTGGAGTCGGGAGTCCCAGCTGGTGGATTGGGCTTGGATGCTCAGTGGGTGGGCTCTGGCCCCCCAGGCCCACCCATGGCTACACTCGTGCTTCGACCCAGCCTTGTTTCCCTGTGTCTCTGAGAGCAACTTCCCATCTGTTTGCTCCTTTCTTGTGGAAGCTGAACCCTGTGTGAGCCTAGGCCCTGTCACCATAGAGCTCTGTGCTCTGTGTGTTACAGGGTCAAGGTGTGAAGATGACCTTTGCCCACAGACTACTCTCTGCCAGCCAGACCGTCTAAGATGAAGCTTCTGTGTCTGTTGCTCCATTGTTTGCAATGGTTAGCAAACACTGGTCTGGTGACTGTTCAGAAACTCCCGGTATCCCCGTGACACTCCCACACTCCCCTCCAAAATCCTCCTCCTTCTCCCTTGTTCCTCAGGGAGAAGGGAAGGATCCTCCCCGGCTGGAAAGATCCAAGGGAAATTTCTATGTAGGGAGCATTGTGGAATCTCCCTTCCCTTCCCAGTGCTGCACCCTGGGTTTGTAATGCAGGAAAGGGGCGCCAAGGAGTAATCAGGCCCCATATTATTATTCTACTTTAGCAAGATCAGAGCTGTGACAGCATCATCGTTACTACTCAGCTGCCCTCGAGACACCCATGTCACTAATCAGAACCATTCGAACAGTGATGACAAGCCTGGATTCCAGGAATAGAGCCTGCAGCAGGGCTGGCACTGCCGACCAATCAGGTAGCATCACCATGTCACCTGTGATTTGGCCTCCTGCAGTTTGCCATTGGCCGTGACGGGATTAAAGCTGGTGCTCACGAAGCCAAGCAGCTGAGGTTCCCTGATGGCCAAGTGGCCCCCAAGGGAATGTGCAGACATGCTTCATAAAGACACTTGCCTCCCCTATCTGAACAGATACAGCCTGCTGCCCGTGCAACCTCTCCGATGACTCCTTGTCCTTTAGGGTGAAAACCTCTGGTGTCAGCGGCTCCCCTGATAGCAGGAATTGGGTACGTTGGCAGGTGTCACTATCTTTACAATGTGAAGTGAAGGGTAAAGGCTGCAAGCTGTTTAAATCTGAAGCTTTTCTGTGCCACTTCAGTGAACTTAGCTGTGCTGTCAGAATGACTTTGTAAGAGGCACAGGAGGACATGCAGCAATGTGCTCAGTGCGTTATTCAAGTTACACAGAAACCGGAGCTTGGAGTGTTAAAAGCCTGATGCCCCAAGTCAGGATTTTTCCAGGGGTCCCATTTCTACAGGTGCCGTGTGCTCTGGGCCCGATCCTGCCAGGGGCTGAGTGACAGGAGACCCCACGAAATGTCAGTGACTAGCTCTCAAATCTACTTAGGTTTATTTGCTCCTGGAAATTTAATCAGGAAATGCATTTTCAAAGCTTTTAATCTCTGGCTTGATTGTGAAGGCAGGAATTCAGAGCTGCTTTGCTTTGTGGGAACAGGTCCAAGAGGGCATATTTTTGCTCCATAGTTACTACAGTTACAGGGCTAGTGGCATCTCCTCCCCCTCTATGGTCTCTGAGTTCCAGATGTCAGGCCTTGAAGCCTTCCTGCTCATGGGATGGATCCCTCCATTCTCCCACCCTCAGACTGGGCACTGGGCTACAGCCCACTGTGGGTCAACTGTGCTTGCCGAGCAGGTCCGAGTGGGTTCAGCACCTGTGGTTGACATGTGTGTACTAAGGTACAGAAGTGTAAATGTTAGGCCAAAACTATTCATTGTAATACAGACATTACAAACCAAACTTTCATGCCATTCCTCTATATCGAAAGCCAGCAGCAGAGTTGTTAGAATCTCTGCCGTAAGGAGCAGGGATACTGTCTCCTGGTAACTGACTAGAAGCTATTTGTTAGTCTCTAAGGTGCCACAAGTACTCCTGTTCTTCTTTTGACTAGAAGCTGATTCTAACACTTACATTCAGAGTCATGCACTCAATCACTCTGCAAGAGTTGTGCAAGAATTTCAAAAAAGTCATGAGAGATCAGAACCTCCGGACTGTGTTTCAGCAAACAGCTTAGCTGAGGTGCAGGAAAGGGGAGTGGTATAGTAGCTGTATGTAATTGACCCCAGTCACCAATTACATGAGCACGGTTGAAGTAACTTGTACACTCAAGTTGATATTAGCGCAATACCTGTGTAGTATTGATCCATGTGTGAAGCCAACTCCCCTGCCCAGCTGAAATAACTGGCAGTGTTAGCTTGTAATTTTCCAAATATCTACAGACTGTTGCATGGGCAGAGGACGCAGGTCCCAGGGGTATAAAAAGAAACCTGTAGGATGATCGAAGTCTCTGGATTCCATCAAAATTGCCCAGGCAAAGCACTTCAGCCTCTCTTGGAGGGTTTCTTGTGGGTCAGAGTATATCAATGGAAGCATTTGGTATGGGTGAGTTAATAGAGCCTGGTTCTGATTGAATTTACACATGAAACTCTGGCGGGAGGCTGTTGATATCGCTGTTGATATCGCTGTTATATTGAATTAAGGACCTGACCCTAAAAAAGTATCTGATATGCTGGAAAGAGGGAATTGCATAATCTGAACTGTTAGGGGCGCACAAAAAAATAATTCATATAATGAAGCTATAAAACACATCAGTGCAGGACAAATAAATACCATGCACTTACCATGTATTTACACACATGGCATGATACAAGGGGCCACACTCAGAAGTGGAGGGCCAGAAAGGGTGTCTGTGTGAAGGGTATAACAGAGTTCAAAAGAGAACTACATAAATTCATGGATGATGGATCACTTGATGATGACCTGTTCTCTTCATTCCCTCTAAGGCACCAAGCATAAGTCACAGTTGAAAAAAGGATACTGGGCTAGATGGACCTTTCGTATCACCCAATATGGCCACTCTTATGTTTTTATGTTTTAAGGTCATAATGTTAAAATCACACCATGCTGAAGTAGACTGTGAAATTCACAGCCACAAGATATCAATGGGGCCAAGAGCTTAGCAGGATTCAAAGAGGGACTGAGTAATCAGAAAATCCAATTATGGTGAAGAGGATTGTTTTAAAAATCTTTTAGAGAGGCTCTAAACCTTCCTGATTTACACCACAAAATTTGTCTAACTAGTGGGTGTCAGGGGAAAACTCCCTGGCACCAGTGCCAAATTCAGGGCTTCTTTCACCTTCTTCTGAATCATCTGGACATGGCCATTGGTTCCTGGGGTAGATTAACTACAAATCTGATCCAGTCTGACTAATCAGAACCATGTGAATCCCAGAGTATGTTTTTGCTTATTTACCTTGAGCTCTGGGAGTCTTTAGGCCTGCACTCAGAGCAGAATGATTTCTTGATAAATATCATCTAATCTCCTCTTTCTTTTGTTTTAGAAAGAACATTTCAGAATTCCTCAGATCTACCCAGTAGAATATGTCAGCTGTCAATGACACAACATTTAAATCTGTAATTTTCCTTCTCACTAGACTACCGAGTCATGGAGAGGCATATCTCTGGATTTCTATCCCCTTCTGTTTCATGTATGTTATTTCGATAGTAGGAAATTCAGTCATTCTGTTCATTGTAAAAATGAATCCAAGCCTCCATGAGCCCATGTACATTTTCCTTTCCATGTTGGCCATCACAGACCTTGGCATATTGATAACAACCATACCGACGATACTGGGAACATACTTGTTTAACTCTAGGGAGATCAGCCTTGATGCCTGTTTAGCCCAGCTCTACTTCATCCACTTGCTTCAGTGCATTGAATCTTCTGTGCTGTTGTTGATGGCCCTTGACCGCTTCATCGCGATCCATAACGCGCTGAGATATGCTTCCATATTAACCCTGCCGAGAATAGCCAAGATGGGACTGGTGGCTGTGATAAGAGCGATGGTCATAATACTTCCACTTCCCTTTCTCCTGAAACGGTTCCGATACTGTCGATCCAATGTCCTCTCCCATTCCTACTGCCTGCACCGGGAGGTCATGAGCATGGCTTGTTCGGATATCACAGTCAACGTCATCTATGGATTGTTTACTAAACTCTTAACAATGGGGTTGGACTCGCTGCTCATCTTCCTCTCTTATGTGATGATCCTCAAAACAGTGCTGAGCATCGCGTCCCACGAGGAGTGCCTGAGGGCCCTGAACACCTGCGTCTCCCACCTCTGTGCCATCCTGCTTTTCTACACACCAGATATCAGCTTGACTGTGATACAGTACTTTGGGAAGGGCTCTTCTCCCATGCTGCAGATTCTCCTGGGCTACATCTCGCTGCTTCTCCCTCCTCTGATGAACCCAATTGTGTACAGCGTGAAAATCAAACACCTTCGTGTGAGGATAATCAGGGTGTTTGTCAAGTGAAGGGTCAGTTCACCACCTGGCTCCAGTGACATGGGAGACGAAAATCATGGGCCACCGCTTCCATCCTGGACCCTTAAATAACCCCTGTCATCTTGGATGTATCTCCACTATATAGAGAGGTTCAGACAGGGTCTAAGGCTGGTGAGGGAGGACAGGGATGGTGAGGGAGGACTGGACACTGAGGTAGGAAACTAAGGCAGGCAGCAGCATTTACTGAGTAACTTTTTGGGGGGGTGGAATGTTGGCCCATAAAGAGTCATATCCATGGTTACTCCCACCTCACAATTCCTGTCGATAGTAAATAAAGGGAAGGGATGTGGGTGCTGGTTCACATTACTGATGGCCTGTCACTGTCCCATGTCTGACTAAACATCCAAGGGCTATGAAAACGGTGGCAGACCTGTTCTGCAGTCTCAGTCCTGGCCATTTCTGAGCGCTCTGCATTCAGCATGACCCATGGGTGCTGCATCAGCTGGGGACAGGGGCTATTCAAGGGGCACAGTCACTCAGTTTTCCCCTGCCCACTCAGTCAAGGTGCTTGTGACTGAGTGGTGTCAGAGACATGATCAACATAGGATCAGAACGAGAAGCCATTCACTGAACCCCTCCAATTATTGCCTTTGCACACAGCACATCTGCTCAGTCCACTCTCCACTGAGGCAGGGCAGAGCTGCATGTGTGAGAAATGGTCTGACACACAGGAGTCCTAGTAAGAGACTCAGGCCTAGGTTCCCTCCCCGTCCGATCCATCTTTGCTGCCCCAGCAATGCAAAACAATGGAAACTGGCCTCAGCTCAGGCCCAACTCACTCCTATCCCAGCCCAGCCCATTCAGTGTAGGGTGACCACCTTTTCAAAAGGCAAAAGCGGGACACAGGCCGGGAGCCGGGTCCCCTTGGTGACCCTGCCCCTGCTCCTCTTCTTCCCCCTAGGGGCCCCACTCCCTGCTCCTTCTCTTCCACTGAGGCTCCACCCCCTGTCCAGGCCAGAAGCCAGAGCTAGGCCCTGGAAAGAGCTGATCAGGGAGCCAGAGCCACTGTGAGGAGCCTCAGATCCTCCAGCTGCCCTGGGCAGGTGACTGGGGGGACAAGAGAATGCTGCTGCCTATGTCCCTGACCCTCAGGACACATCCCCAGAGCAAGTGGAGAGTCTGGGAATCCCCACAGCAGCCTGGGCTCCCGGGGTAGCTGTAACCGTGCTTTTGTGGGTCACAACTGTGAATACCAAATTCAGGACAAACTGCTTAGAAAAAGGGCAGAGAGACCCACAAAGTCATGGTTATTCTCCTGTGAGATATACCAAACCAGCAACACATAGTAAACTTCTGTTTCACCACAGTGGCTAACAAGAAGTCTTAAAAGCAGTTTCCTTACATATTCCAGGCCTTATGTCCCCATCAAAAACACTGGATTTAAAGATGTGTGGTTCGTTAGAACAAATTTAATGCAATGACAGGTTCATTTGATCTCAAAGGACCAGCCGCACACCCAGGTCAATATATAACTCTGATCTTACCCCAAAATCATGCTGATGCAATCTTTTGATTTCTATAATCTAAAGGTTTATTTATAAAAAGAAAAGGAAAGAAAGAAAGGTTAGAGTTAAAAATGGTTAAAGGAGTCAAATACGTGCAATAAATGAAAAGTTCTTATTTCAGGTTTGTAGCAGTGATGGACTAAGCTGCTGGCTTGACAAGTCTCTGGTTGCTTCCAAATCACTGGAAAGTCCTCAGTGCATTGGTTAGAACACTCCCATTCATATAAATTCATAGTATAGAGGCTTGAGCAGGAAAGAAGCAAAATTGTGGTGTTTCTTTTAATAGAATTTTATAGTGTCGACCATATGGAGGGAAACCTACTGTTTCTAACACAGCCCTCAGCACAGCTAGGGGGAAATTACAGGTGAAAAGATGGAGTTTGGAATCACATGACCAAGTCACATCTCCATGCATAATTTGGCTTAGTTACAGCAGGAAATCATTACCTATACCCGGACAGAACTTTTGCAGGACAGTCCATTCAGTGTAGATGGGCGTCTCCCATGGTCCATTGTCAGTTAAGTGTTTCTTGATGAGCCCTTAATTTGAATAATCCCTCCAAGATTTGCAGGCTAACTACTTTGTGGGCATTACCCCAGGGGCAAACATTTGAAATCCAGGTATAGAGCCCATAGTCATACCTTCAAATACAAAAATGATACATGCATACAGATAGCACAACCATAAGCAGCAAATCATAACCTTTTCATAGACATCTTACATGCCACATTTTGTCCAAGTGTGTTGCAAATATATAACACTGGTTGCGAAAGTGATCTATATGGTCATATTTTGATCAGAGAACATCACAGTAGCTCTTACCATGGCCTGGCTCTGGCATGGCCAGGAGGCAGAGCCTCAGGGGAAGTGGAGCAGCAGGGGGCAGGGCCTAGTGGTAAGAGATGCAGGGGAAGGGCTCAAGGGAAATGGGTTTGCAGCAAGTCTGAAGCAATGCAGACACCAGCAACAAGGGTGATAGGGTGTTCATGAGTAAATCAAACTAGTCAAGTTGGAGCATAGGAGACCTTGTGTTTTGGAGAAGACTGAATAAATGTGACCCCTCAAAGGGAGCTCTTGTTTTAAATATTCCAGGCTGACAGTAAGTCATTGCAAGGACCTTAGAAGGAAGAGCAGGGTGCCTGCAGGGCTAACTCAAGCCCCCAGGGTGCACTCTGTGGTGGCCCCTGTCCACAGGAAGATGGCCAGAGTGCGCTGTGCTCTTGGAAGCTGTTAAAGTCAGGCAGAGGTTACAGAAGTGCCCAGGCTGCTCTAAACTCTGCTGAGGCAGGAGGAGAACAGGCCAGAGAATCAAACCTCTGTAACTGGCTCCTTGCCATCCCTTTTCTCTACAGCATGGCCGGGAGGGGGAGCTCTGCAGGTGCAGCAGAGATTCCATCCAGGCCTGTCACCGCTCAGATGGCTGGAAGCCTGTGGCTGTGGTCTAGGCACTACTCTGTGACTCAAGACAGGTGGGTTTAATTTCCTTGTCGACTGTGACCATGGGCAAGCCATTGGCTGTCTCTGAGCCTCTGCTGAGGTAGATAATATCCCGGCCCTGCCTCACAGCAGTGGCAGGAGGATAAATACATTCAAGGTGCTCAGATACTCTGAGACCCTAAGATCGGGGCTGAGTCAGGGATCCACAGAACAACAACTCCGTCACTATCACCACCCTGGTCAGCTGATCGGTAATATATCCCGACTGCTATATTCTTTTTATTAGCGCATGGAATTACTATTCATAGAGATCCTTTGGTACAGTTTGGTTCATTTAAGATTTTTACTCCATTTGTTTCTACACTTTATATAAGATATAGTGCCACTCTTCCACCAGCACAACCTGTTCTGTCCTTCTGATATATTTTCTACCCTTTGATTATCCTCATTCACCAAGCTTCTGTGATGACTATTGTATCAATATAGTCATTTAAGAGGGGGCACTCTAGTTCACCCATCTTATTATTTAGAATTCTAGCATTGGTAAAAAAAACACTTTCTAAACTGTCACTTTTTAGCTGTATGCCATTATATGATGTAATTGAATGGGAGTTTTTTCATTTGACTGTTTCTCATCAGATCCTGTCTGTATTTTATCATCTTCCATCCAGCTCCAAGATGGAGTTTTGGAGTCACCTGGGCAAGTCACATGCCCCTGCATGACTCAGTCTTTGCAGGCCGACGCCATTGTCCACATGGCATCTTGCATATCTCCAGGAAGACTTCTCATGTGGATTGGAGCATTCCAAGATGCATTGTTCCCCAAGTGTCTCCTGATCAGGTACTTAACTTGGCGAATTCCTTCCTAAAGAAGCTGACCAAATGCCTCTCTCTCTTTACTAGGACATAAAGAATCTCCATGAATAGATCACCCCCACGGGATGTCTCTGTCCCAAACCATGCTCCTCTGCACCTGTCGGCTTTCCCCCAGCCCTTAGTTTAAAAATTGCTCTATGAGACTTTTAATTTTAAGTGCCAGGATTCTGGTTCCATTTCGGTTTAGGTGGAGCCCAGCCTTCCTGCATAGGTTTCCTCCTTTCCCAAAAGCTTTCCAAGTTCCCAATAAATCTATATCCCTCCAGGCTTTGAGACCCTGCAATTCTGCCTGTCTCATTAGCCCTGCACATGGAACTGGAAATGTTTCAGAGAGGCTACCTCGGAGGTCCTCGATTTCAATCTCTTACCTAGCAGCCTAAATTTGGCCTCCAGGACCTCTCTCCTATCCTTCATTATTTCATTGATACCTACATGTACCACGACTTCCCCATCACTACGCATAAGTCTATCTACATGTCTCGAAAGATCCGCAGGAAGTCAAGTCACCATGCAGTTCTCCCAGTCATTGCAAACCCAGCTATCTATATTTCTAATGATCAAATGCCCGAAAGCTATGACCTGGCTGTGACGGGTTGGATCACAGAACCCCCCTTGGGAGGTGCCACCCGATGTGCCAAGACTACCTCTGCTTCTGCTTTCCCCGTCATCTGGGGACCCCAGCATCCTGTCTTGCTGAGCCAGACACAGCCATCTACTCCAACAAAGACCCATGGTCTGAATTACTTGGCCCAAAGCTGCAGGTTTACCTGAAAGCAGCTAACAGAAGTGTGCTTGTCTCTAACACTCAGATGCCCAACTCCCAGTGGAGTCTAAACGCAAATAAATCCGTTTTATCCTGTATAAAGCTTATGCAGGGTAAACTCATAAATTATTTGCCCTCTATAACACTGATAGAGAGATATGCACGGCTGTTTGCTCCCCCAGGTATTAATACATACTCTGGGTCAATTAATAAGTAAAAAAGTGATTTTATTAAATATAGAAAGTAGGACTGAAGTGATTCTAAGTAATATCAGACAGGACAAAGTAAGTCACCAAGCAAAATACAATAAAATGCGCAAATCTCTGTCTAATCAAACTGAATACAGATAATCTCACTCTCAGAGATGCTTCAGTAAGTTTTTTTCCTC